GTGGGATGATGATACCTTAAGAAAGCCTTTGTGAGGGGCGCCTGGCTGGCTCAGGGGGTTAAAGCCTCTGCCTTCAGCTCAGGTCATGATCTCAGGGTCCTGGGATCAAGCCCTGAATCGGGCTCTCTGCTCAGCAGGGAGCCTGCTCCGCACCCCCCCGCCCCCCCGCCCCCGCCTGCCTCTCTGCCTACTTGTAATCTCTGTCAAATAAATAAATAAAATCTTTTTAAAAAAGAAAGAAAGAAAGAAAGAAAGCCTTTGTGAGGGGCGTGTGGGTGGGTCAGTTGGTTAAGCATCTGCCCTCAGCTCAGGTCATGATCCTAGGGTCCTGAGATTGAGTCCTGCATCGGGGTCTGTGCTCACTGGGGAGCCTCCTTCTCCCTCTGCCTGCCACTCCCCCTGCTTGTACTCTCTCTCTCTGACAAATAAACAAATAAAATCTCGAAAGAGAGAGAGAGAGAGAGAGAAAGCCTTTGTGAAGGCCGTCCCTCACACCACAGGAGACGCTAGGTGGCCTTACTTTGTGTCAGCATGCCATTTCTTTGTTCCAAATGGTGCCTCATCCCCCAGTAAAGACAGGGCAAATGACGCTACTCAGTAAACGGTGAGTTTCTTTTGGGGGAAAGAGCTCACTTCAAGCCCGGCTCCCGCTCTCAGGGGCGACGAAATGACGTGATGGGGAGAGACCAAGCTACCTCCATTCACAGAATGCTAGGGCAAGCTGCTCAGAAAGAACTGATAAGGCAAACCACTCAAATGGAACATGAGAGGAAATACACACAGGGCAGGATTTTTTTAAAGAGTATCAGAAAATCCCCATACTCTATTGATAGTTCTATAAAACTTTTTTAGACAAATTGTTTCCTTTCTCACATTTACTTATATACATCACAGACATTTAGTATTGACTTCTAAGTTAAAGAAACTAGATGGGTCTCTCCACGCCATCCCCTGCCTGATCACATTACTATCCAATTCAAGCAGGTCTCATCAGAACCATGTTTATATTCCTCCTTCTAATGGGTTAGCCCACACGTGGGAAGTCCCGGCGTACACTAACCTTCTCCTTGGACATTCATTCAACAACTATTTGCTGAGTGCCTACAATGGGCCAGGTGGCATTTTAGGTGTTGCGGATTCAGTTGGTAACTACCAACATCATCATCATCAGCACCATCATCATCACCATCACCGTCCTCCTCATCATCATAACCACCATCATCATCACCACCATCACCATCATCGTCATCCTCATCATCATCATCACCATCATCGTCATCATCACCATCATCACCACCATCATCATCATCATCACCATCATCGTCATCATCACCATCATCATCACCATCATCACCATCATCATCACCATCATCACCCTGCTTTCATGGGGCTTACAGTCTAGTTGAGGGGATGGATGATTAACAAATAAATATGTAATATATAAAGTGCTTAAAAGGAAAACGAAGTATGCTAGCTGGTACAGAGGGATGGGGTGGGTGCTAGTTTATGTAGGTTAGGAGAGGCTGCTTTGGAATGGTAACTTGAGAAGTCCTACCTAAGGAGGCTGAGAAGCTTAAGAAAAAAATAAAGATCATTGCCTCTGTGCATATATGCTAAGCAATATATATATGTATACATATATGTATGTTCGTTTGTTTTTTTTTTTTTTAGAGAGAGATTGATGGGGGAGAGGGAAGGACAGAGGGAGAGAGAGAATCTTAAACAGGTTCCACGCCCAGCACAAAGTCCAGTGTGGGGTTCAACCTCAGGACCCTGAGAGCACGACCTGAGCTGAAATCAAGAGTTGGATGCGTAATGACTGAGCCACCCAGGCATCCCTGTGCTAAGCAATATTTGAGTGTGGAGGTGGACAGTTTTAAGAAACTTAATTTCAAAAGCGATTCATATTTAATTTTCAAAAAGACCAATCGGTGGATCCTTCATTTAAATGACTAAAGCTATATTCTTAGAAAGCCCCAAAGGAACGCCTTTGAGTTATCGCGCTACCTGGGAGGGCGGGTATCAAGACAGTGACAGATATAACACACATATAATAGCATAAGACTGTGCTCAACATTTTAAAAACAGTTGTAAACTGAAGTTGTGCCGAATCACTGATGTTTTAGAAGCCAAACGGGCTACAATGAATGCCTCATTCAAGCTGGGACGTTATGCAACGTGACACACACAGCGAGAAGAATTACCAGACGTCACTTCATCCAACTTTCTCATGTTACTCCACATAAACTGGGTCCACAGAGCTTTGGGGGTTCCCAGATTCCAAGGTTAAGTGCAACACCATGTGTAAAACCCAGGTCTCCTGACTCATAGGTAAATTTTCGTGACCACCCCTTTCGTGTACAAGATACCACATCTTTGGGCCAGTTTGAGACATTTTCTGGACTTTGAGATATCATCTGCTAAAAAGACGGTGGCAGATCTGAGAGGTAGCAAATGGGGTCCCACAGAGGCACTAAGTTTGGGGTGCAGTCTGCAAGGAATGCTGAGGACATAAGCTGCTCATGCCAATGGCTGCTATGATGGTTACTCAAATATTTATACACCCACATTCCTACCCCACTTGCAAGCACATGTTCTTTGAAAAATCTCCTGCTCTCCTGATCATAATGGCACAGGCTTTGGGGCACCCAGGATACCAAAGTAATGAACTCAAGGTAAAAACACACCAAGATCCCAAAAGATGACTAATGACTAAGATCACTAATTTCACAACTTGCTGAGAAAATTGGGATCCTCCCCAACACCCCCCAACAAGCAAATGTGATTTGCAAGAGGAAGTCCTTAGCACTGAAGGAGTTCACTAGAATTTCGTATTTTCTTCCTTTCTCTCAACACACTCTATTTATAGATGGATTTTAAAATTACTTTAGTGGGGCATGTGGCATCTTAAAGTTTATACTTCAGAACTCCTCTGAAAACCTCATTTAATGTTTGGGGTTTGACAGAGTATCACATGAGCATTTCAAAGCAAAAAAAAAATCAGATTTGAAACAAAAGCTATTTTGATGATAGTGTCTGCGTTATTCACTTAGATGTAACCTGAAACCTACAACACCATTCCATACAACACTTGTTTCCTAGGATAAAAATGCTTTAAAAAAATCACGTATTCTAACGGCCATATCAGCGGGAAAATAATTTCTAGTAAAATATCCTACTACTCTAGGACCCAAATTATTCCTTAATAGTGGGAGAAACTTCAACAAGAGAGTTGTTTTTTTGTTTGTTTGTTTTTAAGTAAGTATTAAAGTGCCTTATACAATACTGTGCCCCTTTTTGGGACATCAAACCAAGATGTTAACTGATCAATTCACAGGTTATTTGCTGTTGCATACAGATTTACAAAATAAAAAGTAAACATGTAGACTTAACAAAGTAACACTTGATGGGGGTTAGTGACCTGTCAAAGTCGCAGACTTTCTTGACCTCGACCATAGGACCAGGACTAGAATTCAGGTCTGTTGATTCCAGGAGCTGCATGTACATTTCCATGGGAACCAATGTGATCATATGCACAAAACAGAAACACATTAAAACACCAGTGTTTCCCACCATTTACTATGAGGTGCTGGGAGGTTTTAAATTTAATAAGTTTATTTGAGTATGACTATTTAACCCTGAGGAAATACGGATAAAGATGCATATTTTAATACAAATTTTTAGAAAACCACAAAATAAAAAATATCCAGTGGAAATTTTTTGTTTCAGCATTAATGCTTTTTCTCCCTGGTATATGCCCCCATAGTGTTGCTCCTTGCTCTTTCAAAATCATTTGTGCAACTGCAAAAATGTAACTTAAAAATGCCTGGAGAAGTTTCCTGACTGAATTGTTAAGCTAAGGACTGATTATATAAAATTTTATATAGTATGTATAAATATATATTTCACATATACTTGTGTGTATATATAAATATATATATTATATTATAATATATAATAAAGAGTGTATATTTATTATATATAAATATTGCATATTTATAAATACATAGAAAATATGTATTTCTTTATATAATATATGCACAAATATATGACACGTATTAAATATATATATGTATTGCATGTATATATAGACATACACACACACGCACACACATGTGCACACACACACACACAAAGTCCTAGTCAAAGTTGGTTCTTCATTTTCTAAAACTTGAAGACAATACACTCATAGCCCATCCCTGGTTTCCTGCAGCTGTATTCTTTCCTGATCAAAACCTTATAAACTTTTTTTTGGACCCAAACTAGCAATGAGGTTAAAATCTCCAGAAAGCACAGGAGCTGGTCAGATTCCTAAATTCTGCGGGGGGAATAAGCTCCTTGCAACCCAGCATGTGGTCTATCTCGTCAACGACTTGATATTTAATCTCCTCATGAAAAGCAACCAGCAGCTGATACTTTATTAATCCCAAAGCCTTGACCTTGTAATCTGATAAAAACCAGTAAGTCAGCCAATTCTGAGTAAGAAAAGCACCCAACACAACGGACTGTATTTGCATACCTCAGATTTTTGAAAGGAAAAAAAAAAAAGTTTCATTCCAAAAACCAACCAACCAACCAACAACAATAAAACGTTCCATGAATAAAAATATCGGCTGGGTGCCAATTCTCATAGCTGATCGTTCGCCGGGAGGATTTTTACCCACCGAACCCCAAAGAAGCTGGACAGCCCAGCTAAAAGAGTCCACTCTGCGGTGGGTTCTGTGTAACCGTCCCAGGACAGGGGGGCACTAACCATTGAAAAGAATCACTGACTTCCACTCTTCTACACCAGAAGGAGATAACGAGCAGGGCCCCACACAAGCAGAGAGAGGCAAGTTCGCGACAAATAGAAACAGCACCTCTCCGCTAAAAAAAGAAATTAATTGGATGATCACTTAGAACTCATGCTAATGCCCCTTTGATTCCCTGGCTCGGTGACACGCGATGATTCACGGATCCTTGCGAAGCAACCACCCCAGATGCCGCGCGTGTTCACTTACGACATTCACTGCGCGCTGTTCGCAGGTAGCCGGGGCTGAGCCTTCACCATGGAGACTCCCCACAAGAAGCTGGAGCGCTCCCGGCCTCAGGCGTGTTCTTTCTTCCTTCCAGAGGAGTGAGAAATCCCTAGTATGGGAGTCGGAGAGAAGAAAAAGGGACAGGTAAATGCCCCATCCGATCACTCTGTTATCCTAACAAATGAAGTCTCGTGGTCCATGCAACTCACTGATGACTCGCCCAAGACCACTTTCCAGTACGCTTTCCTTAAAAAAAAAGCAATGTAGGATTTTTGCTCCGGCCCCAGGAGACGCAGTGTGGCCCCGTCAGCCTTTTCCCTCTGTCCCTCCCCACCCTTCCCCTCCAATTCCCACACACACACCCATAAAGTTGAAGCCGGTTCTGGGGGAGTCCCGATGTAATCCCAGCTGAGATGCAAACTCGCAATACGGTCTCATAACACGCCACCTGATTTTACTCTCTGCAAAAGGGAGGGAGCTGGGATGATCACCTCTTGCCATTTTCATACCTCACTGGGTTGTTGGGAAAATCAATAAGATCACTCTGGCAAAGTACTCACAGTTCCTGAGAAGAAAGGCACTATGTAAACGCCAAGTATTATTAGTGGTCATAAGCCTGTTACTGAGCTCTGAGCCAGAATTTAAAAGCCAGCTTTGGCTAGCCACCAACGGTCCGCTCTCTCTGAGGCACCCGAACGTGCAAAGAAGTCTGCACGGGCTGCTGTGCGAAAACGTCCCAGCCACGGAGGGGTCCGAAGAAGCCCAGCAGCGGAAACAGAGCCTTCTGGAAGCTCAGGGAGAAAGAAAGTGAAGGCCTGGAACAGAGTGGGAAGCAAAAGGAAGGGGGAGGGGGAGGAGGGTGGAGGGTGGAAGGTGGCTGACAACTAAGGCCTGTGCAGGCGCATGGTTCTTTGGTCCCTGCCACTGGGCTGCCTCCGATGGCTGGTTGAGAGTGCTCAGTGCACTGGAGGTTTGCAGGGCTGTGAAATTTTCCACTTGGCTGTCTGCCATTCCCGCCCACCGAGGATAACACTTCCACACACCCAGAAGTGGCACACCGAGGCCCTGCTGGGGAGGACTGGGAGAGTTTTTGTTTGTTTGTTGCTTTTAAAGAAAAGCCCTATTCATACTCCAATCCTTAATATTTTCCACACCTGGATTTCTTGATTTTTTTCCCCTCCTTGAACACAGAGCCAGGAACGGCTCTGCCTGGGCCAACACGATCAAGTTATTTTGACTTGGATATTCTTGGGGGACTATGTTTGAGGTATGGGAACGTACGTGACAGGCTTTGGGGACCGTGAGAAACCTAGAATTTAAGTGCTGTGCTGGCGCCCTGTTAGTTTCCTAGACAAATCATCCACGAACGAGTTCCCTTTCAAAGCCGCAAAGCACATGCCGAACAAAGGCGGGAGGCTCGGGCCTAGCACTGTGAGAGTGACCCTGTTTTCGAGGGAAAAATGCAGTCCTCACCCCCTAAAAAAGGCAAAAACGAGTAACAGCAAATCTTCGATTTGGAATTGGTAAGACACTGACGAATATACCTCAAAAAAAAAAAAAAAACTAAAAAATGGAAAGAAGGAAATTAGGACGAAGGGAGAAAGGAGGAATCTGATACAAATATAATTAATGGGGGGCTTTTATAGTGAATACAGTTCACAAAGTGCTTTCTTCTTCTCCTTCTTCTTGATTGAGGGATAACTGACAGATAACTTTATATTCGTTTCAGGTGTACGAAGTGCTTTCATATTCATTCATTCATTCATTCATTCACTCACTGGACAAATTTTTACTTGGTTCTTCCTCTATTCACCAGGTTCTATGTTCATAATAGTGAACAAAACAGCCAAGGACGTGGCCTTTAAGGAGCTCACCGCATCAAGAGGGGCAGACAAGAACCAGCGCGTACCATTTGTAGTCCATGTGTGAAATTTGCAAATCGGATAGGCATTAGGAAGGAAAAAGAAACACTGTGATTTGTGATCATACTGGGGGTACCGCACTCGCCCCGGGGGGCTTCGGAAGGATTTTCTTACAAAATGACCAGATGAGAGAAGTTCAGCAGGTAGAGAACACAACCTCTGCGTGATGTGATCTGGCTGGACGTGTACGATTCATTTCTGGTATTTTATTCTCTTTACCCCCACCCCCAACGGCCATTTCAGCTGGGTCTCCTTTATCAAGAAATGGGCCCAAGAGCTGTTGTCAGGACCTTGAAATAACAGTGGTTTCTTCCTCCCAACTACCAGAACAACAAACATGAGTAATTTCTGCTAGAGGAGCCTGGTTCAAGACAGGTATTACATTTGATGTGACAGGAGAGGAAGCCTCTGGTTTCCTAATGCATCTCATGTCACCCCGTCATCACGGAGAAAGAGAAGGAAGCTCTCTATTAACACCTGCACGCCACAGCTGGAGTTAAGAAAACCCTCCCCCTACCCTCCCCAAGGGCTAAAAACAGATCACATCACCCATAAACTTCTGAAAAAATCTTCCTAGTGCTTTGCAGTAGGTTCCAAATTTGCTGGCTTCCTCTTTACTATTAAGATGTTTTTATTATTTTTCTCTGGGACTCCAAACAGCCTTTATGTCCGCGTCCTGTGAGCCTTCTCCTTTGGTTCTCGCCTTGGTCACCTGTTTATTTACCCAGGGAAGCAGCAGGATGAAAAGCATAAAAAGCAATGGAAATATTGCGTTCATCTGAAGTGTTTTCTCGTTCCCTATCATCCCCGATCTGGTACAACTTAATCCTTCTGCGAAGGAAAATCAGCTCATTCGCTTTCTTTATCCGGCAAAACAAAGGCATCCTGGGACAGGTTCATTCATGTCCTCCCTGTGAACGAAGTTAAGTCTGAAGGTCTGTTTGAAACAAATAAGCCAAACTTCCACTGGAGTCTTGTCCCATCTAAAGACACCCAGGACGAAATATAATTTCTCCTACAAGTTTCTCATATAACCAAAGACATTAATAATACTTCAAGTTCAAAGTCTCGAAACACAACTCCTTGCTTTGACTTTGCAGTTTTGACAAACTTCAGCAAACTGGGAAAGAAGAGACAGCAGGAAAAAGGCCTTCTCCAATCCAAGCGGCCACTCCCCCCGCCGTCAGACCTGGGAAATAATACCAGGCTGACAGTTGCATTCTCTGGTCCAGAGAAGAAAATGACCACAATGCCAATGTCTCCTTTCCCTGACCGCCCATAGCACTTACAGAATCTACCGCACATGTTGACTCGAGGTCCTTTTCAATTCAGCACTCCGTTATACTGTCTTTCTATTCGCCACTGGATTTACTTAAGTCTTGGAGGTTCAAAAAGTTCATAAGCTCCTTGATGAAAGAAACCTTGCCGTGCCTTTCTTTTGCAAACCCCTCAGAGTGTCTAGTAGGAGAGCCTGCATTTAAATTAAATGAACCATAGCCAAAACCTGTTCTATGACTTAAACTTTACTCCAAAGGAATGCTCTATAGCTTATCATTTAAGCCCTTCTTCTGGGGTCCTGTAGCTCCTACGTTGTCTATCATCTACATGAAAGCCCTCCATAAATGGAAGAACAATTAAGTTACAACTTCCCCTTCTGTCTTTTGTTCTTCCAACCCATTACATTTGGAGTCATTAGCGGCTCTTCAACAGTTGCCATAAATATCCTTGATTCTCATAGCTTCCCAAACTTCTGTTAAGGAAACCCTGGTGGTATGTGGAGGGGAGGTATGGATGTTCTGAGGCAGGGGCCCTTGAACCTGAACCATTATCAGAAAAATCTGGAGGTCAGGGCTCCTGGGTGGCTCAGCCAGTTAAATGTCTGTCTTTGGCTCAGGTCATGATCTCAGGGTCCTGGGTTCGAGCCCCAGTACGGCTCCCTGCTCAGCAGGGCATCTCCTTCTCCCTTTCCCTCTGCCCCTCCATCTCAAATAAATAAAAAATAAAACCTTAAAAAAAGAAAGAAAGAAAAAGAAAAACTTGGAGGTCTTAGGAAACGCCCAGAGGTCACAGATGCCTGGGTTCCGTCCTTCCCCAATGTCTCCCTCATTAGACCTGGGGTGGGGGGCGGGGAGCAGAGAACTTGCATCTCTAACAAGTTCCCAGGTTTTGCTGGTGCCGCTGGTCCATGGACCACACTTTAAGAACCATGAAAGCTAAGCCTGCTCTAAAGGTTAAGACTTCCAGTCAATGATCTAGCCAGACAGAGGCCACAAATCTTTCGGGTATATTTAATCACTCTAAGATGGCTACACTGGAAAGAGTAACACTTGTCTGGTCTAGAGAGGTGGCAATGGCGAAAAACCCCCAAAAGGCCCACATATCTTATAATCTGGGGGAAATTTCTGTTGCTTTGGTATTTGGCTGTTATCTGCTCTCCCCTCTACTGGCTCCAGACCTATCTGGGTCAATTCTGCCCTTTATCTCCCCATGGCTCTTCTTCTTCTCTGCTGGAAACTTCTTGGCCAAAACACTCAGCCACTGCTATCCCTGAGATGTTCTCAGATGGCTGTTGCCTCTCTCCTGTTCACTAACGAACATGAGAGTGTGGTGTAAATTCAGCGCTGGTATTGCACCAGATAGAGCTCAACCTGCCTCCTAAAAGCATTGGCCTTTCCCTCCCTGACTTCTCTTCCACTCTTTGGTTAGGGCTTCTCAATAGTTCCTTCAATTTCCTTTTACTTTAGTTCAGTGGACTAGCATTTCTGCTTCAACAGTGTCTTTTTGGAGTGACCTCTCCCCCATTCTTTCGTTATCTGGGTTGGGGTGGTCTCACGCCTTGGGTGCAAAGATGGGCACATGACCTAGTTCTGGAAGATTAGAATACATATCCCCTTTCACGATGAGGACTGATTTTAGGGACAGGCACATAATCAAAGCCAATCAGCTCCTCTCTTGGACACGCTGGAACATGAAAGTGTGGTCTCCTAAGAGCTATCTTTACTCCCTTGTGAGGAAAACCCATTTGAGAATGAGGCTCTGGAATAGGGAGCAAACCCAAAAGACAGAAAGTCCAATTCCTCATGATGGTGAGGTGCCTTGGATCCAGCCATGCCAAAAGTGAAATTTATCCCTGGATTTTTCAGTTATGCTGTGAGAGACAAAAATCCACAGTGGTCCCCTAGATGCC